AGTAGGAGGCTGGATGTGGTGCCAAAGGCCTGGGTTTCGCTCCTCGGCATCTCAGCCTCCACCTTAGTGGATTGTCTGGGCTAGACATCAGAGAGCTGCTATGCCTGGAGTCATCTCCTGGCCTGGCCATCCTCCTGCCTCCTGGGGTGGAAACAGTGACTGTGTCTGAATTTGAGAAGGATCCCACTCCTGCACGGGTGCCGTGGGAAAGGGGCGTGAGATCGCCGTGTCCCCATGTGTGTGGCAGAAACCCTTTGTTCTGGCATTGGCAGGCTTGTGCTTTTCCTGTGCTCTTAGCCATGGCTTTGTTGTACAGCTATTGTTCTGAGTCCATCAAGAGGAATTTGGGGCATTTGTGTGTGTGTGTGTGTGTGTGTGTGTGTGCATGCGTGTGTGTGTGTGCACACATGTTTGAACATGTTTGTCTTCAGCTTAGGAAAGATGGCAGAATCCAGTGGGAGGCTTAACTTTTGAAGAAGATCATGTGCCGGAGATTGGGTTCCATACTCTTAGTCTTGCTTTTGCTTTTTGGGGCAGCAGACTTTAGACAGAAAGAGGGCCGAACATTTCCTCCATTAGATATGAACTCTTGACCTGCAAGGGTGCAAGGTGTAGACTGTCCAAAACCAGGTCAAAATGCTGCTGGGTGACAGGGTGTCATTTCTGGCATTGTCGTCACTGTGGTTTGCATGTGTCCACCTGAGATCACTTGTTGCAGACTGAATCCCCAGTGCAATCACATTGAGAGGTGGGTGCTGAGAGGCGGGGGAAGTCGCCAGGGAACCTCCTGAGGAGGCCCCAATGCCTTGGACTTCGCAGCCTCAGGAAGAAGTAAAACTATGATTTATAAATTACCCAGTCTTGGGCATTCCATTCCAGAGACATAAAAGGCACGAAGGTGGTAATTAAGAATTTAAAAAGATGGCTTTGTTTCCCAGTGAGATGAGGGAGGACTTGCTGGCTGCTGTCATCCAGGACGGCGAATGCTCTCCTCTGTGGTTGAGATGACGTCAGCAGTGCGGAAGGCTGGGGAGGGACACGCGCTGGCCACGTCTCTACCTTTTCCTACGTTGGTGGTCAGCGGGTGAGTTGAGCATTCAGCGAATGGACAGAATTCCCTGTAGAGAGACAGTGGGTTGGAAGGAGGAAGCGTAAGGACGCCCAGGCTCGTGCGCAGCCTGCACAGGAGGTGCCCAGGCCTTCCTCCTGGCTCTGCAGCAGGGTCTGGCCTTCCCCCACGCTCAGCTGCTGAGGGTGACTTGGTGAGACTGCTCCTCTCTGATCCTAGTAACAGAATGTGCCGCAGGAAACAGGCTGCCGAGCGTATCTGAGGAAAAGATCACCGGGTCCGTGGAAACCCAACACTGGCTTTTCCCAGAACGTCGGGCCACATCGGAGGTCAGCGTGGCGTCAGGCCAGAGCGCAGGGCTGTCCCAGGGTGTGGGCTTTTAAAAATGAAACAGTATTTATAGAAGTTCATCCTGGAGCCAGAACTTGTGACTGTTCCTTGTCAGGCCCCGCCCTGGATGGCCCTGGGCTCACGGCACCGTTTTATTGGTGTATTTTAAAGCCGGGCTGAGAGTAACTCCAAGGGTAGCGCTTGGACCTCTGTCACTGAAGCAAGCCTTTAGGAAGTGCTTGATAGCGATCCACGTACAGGAGAGCGTATAAAATGCATTGGTTGCATCAAGGCCAGGTGCCGGGACATAACACCTGCAGGCCCAGCTTCTTGGGAGGCTGAGGCAGGCAGGTCACTGGGTCCAGGAGATCAAGGTTGGCATGGGCAACACAGTGAGACTCATCCCTATGAAAAAGGTAGTTAGAAAGCATAAAATGGACACCCGTATAGCCAGGTGGCAGGGACCCAGCGGCTGTCCTCCCCTCAGAGGTGGAGCATCTCAGATTCTAACCGACTTTAGGGCTTCTTACTTCTACCACCTACGTACGTGTACGTTCCTGTTTTAAGCAACATGTGCTTTTGTTTATCATTGTTGTTTTTAAAATTAATTTTATTGAGAAATAACAATGAGATAGTTTCAGAACAGATTAGGACAGTTTCAATAATTAATACATTACATATTATTGTCTTAGTCATGGTTATTCATAGTACGAGATGCAGACACGATATCCTGTCCAAACACTGTTAGTACAAATCTTTCTACTCATTGAATTAAGAGAAAGTAATTGTATATTTATCCCGTTTTGTATATACAGGTACAAAATGATCCTTCATTTGTGTCTCCTTTTTTGTTTAGTTTTGTCAGAGATGGGTATTCCATTGCCATTTAAATAATGTAGGTGCATGAATTCAGCAAAATATTCCAGTATAGTCCAGCAGTCCATAATAGTAATGGGTTTTCCGTAGGACTGGCAATGTTAGAAGTTGTTGACTTGAGCCTTTTACAGCTCAGCATATTAATACGGCTTTACTTTTTTATACCTTGTTTTTATACTTTTCTACTGGATGGTTAAGACCAAGATAAAGCAAGACCTAAATAACAAGAAATTTAACTTTTGTATCTGCCAAGGTCAGTCAAATCCCCTCAGAATTTACCTTGAAACCCAAATACAGTTTGTAGATCCATTGTCAGATAGTGAGGTTAAGCTCAACTGCCTATGTAATAGGGTAATAATATCATTAAGCTTCTCTTCTGGAGGGTTAACTACTTAAGCTTGAAGATCAAAATTTAGAGGAAAAAGAAGGGCTGCAAGGACAACCAACATTTTGGCCCTAGCCTTTGAAGGTCAGTGAAGACTCAGGACATAGGAGAACCTGTGCTGTGACATCCTGTAACTCAGTGGTGTCCCAAATTTTCTGATCAAGGAGATTATGGGGCCACAGAGGAAAGTGATCGACGATGTAGAGTGTGCCTAAGGAGAGTCACAAGGAGAGAAAACATTCTCTCAGGCTTTCACAGAGAGCAAATTGGTCAGGCAATGGCTGTGACTCATCCACATATCATTATTGTTGTATAAGAATAATGTAGAAAACTTGAGCACTAAGCTCCGGTGGGCCCCAGCTGTCCTGAGGGCACCACCCTGCCTGTGGGGACAGCTTTCCAGCCTGCTAACTGCTCCTGTGTGTCACACCACACAGGGTCACCGCTCCTGCCTCCACTTATACAGTTGCTCTAGAGTAGTGTGAATTATGAGCTTGGGTTCTTATGTTACTGAAGCTGGGTCCTTAGCCTGAGGTACAGAGAGGAATTTCAGGGGGCTCCCTGAACCCCTCAACACTGAATGCGTACTTCTGTCCTCCTTTTGGGTGGAAGACCCATGGCATTTTCCGAAGTGTTTGTGATGTTGCCCTGTCTCTGTCCCCTTCTCCCCCATCAGAATAAGGAGAACTGTGGGTATTGTGGTGGGCTATTGTTTTACTTAGATGGATCTTGGTGTGTTGAAGGTGCCCGTGCGCAGTTTGTTGAGTCTTCCTTGGCTTCTTAGATTGGACTGTGCCTAACCGTTGAAAGGGGAACAGGCAGGTAGCTTCCTGGGGGAGTCCAGCGTGGACTCCTGGTCCGTACTGTGGGTGGCCTGGCTGCCTTTGCGGTTCCTCTGAAACCTACATCTCCCTGTCTTGACTCAGGAACTAGCATGCTGAAAGGGAGGGGAAAAACTTGGAATGGTTGCTGTAGTTTTCAAAACAAATGATCTCACTGCCTGAATTGTGCTTTATGCCTTATAAATAATAATGGGCCTTTGGGAAAACAGATCCAGATACCCCTTCAGTATGGGTGAGGGCAGCTGAGCCCCTGCTGAAGTTGACATCCTACAAACAGAACACCCCAGCTCTGCCTCTGTTGGCTGAGACATGTGTAAGTGAGCTTGCTATGGATGGGCATTCACTGCTTCAAGGTGGGAAAATCACCACACACTCTGAGTGAGCCGACTTAACGTGAAATATTTCAGGTCTGCTCCAGAAGCACAAGGGAGTTGTGGAATCTTCTTGCTGAAGTTTTATCCCATCCCTGTTCTGCAGGTCCCCAAGGTTAGGTGTAACCGGCCTGAGGTCACATCGATTTGTAAAAGCCAGCTGAAACCAGAACCTGGTGGGGAAGAGGCAACTATTTTGATGATTGTGTGTAAATATGCAATTAGACAAAGAGAAAGTCATAACCAGAAATCTCATTTCTTAGAGAATAGCACTGTGATACTCATTTCATTCCACCAAAGCGAAGCACTGACCACCAGCCTGGAACATCCACTGATTTCTGTAGTCCCCAAGTATCCCCTCGGGAGGGGCTCTACCCTCCAGAGTCTTCGAATCTGCTGTGTGGGAGAGGAGTTTTCTGTGTCAGTCTTTGTTCTTCACACCGTAAAAACTCAAATGTTGTACTCACTGTAAGGATTTTAAGTTTTCCTCCTCTATGCAGAAATGTACAGTTCTTTTTTTTTTTTTTTTTTCCTTTAACTCTGCTTTTGAAGAAAACCAGGAGTTTGGGTTTGGCTGGTGCAAGTCTCATGGGATTAAGGAGAAAGAACCAGAGAGTAGTTATGATCTGGAACTGCAGGCTGCTTTGTCTCCTCCTCGATTAAGAGCCAGGCAGGATACTTGTTTAGAAATGGAGTTTTATTATGGAGGTGCTTCACAGGTAAAATGTAAGCTTTACGGTGTCAGTTCTGCGGCCCTGTTCCTGGCTTTTTCCTTGCTGGCGGCTGACGCGGGCCGAGGTCTGTGTGCTGTCTGCTTCTTGGCTTTGCTTATCTGCAAACAGAGATTTGGGGCTGCTGAACTGTAAGCTGAAGCGCTGGGCTGCCTGGTGGGGGAGGCTGCTGTGGTGGCTGCAGCCGGTGACTGGTGTCTCCTGCCTGAGTTGCAGGTGGAGAATTTGCCAGCTCTGCAGCCGCTTAGTGCCTCGAGGCCATTAGCCACCCCTCGATTCTCCTTTTCTGCCCTTTTGATGGGCTGAAGCCATCAGGGATGGGTGGGGAGGGAGGATGTGGCTCACTGGTGATGTGGCCTCTTGCAGTGATGCATGACATTTGTGATTCTCTTCCAGCGCACCACGATAGGGTAACATCTGGACTGGACTCCCGGCCCCTTGACGCTTGGCTGCCCACACGTTCCAGATCAACTTGTTGAAAACCGTGAGTCACTTCCACACGGCTGTTTTTTGGGCAGTGCTAGGCCCACGGAACTCAGAGTATGGCAGTGGACGGCTTGTCTTGGGCGTGCTGGGGTTGTTGTATCAAAAGAGAGGAGAGCCTGGGTGCCCCGTCCCCCAGATGGGCCCTTTCTGTCCCCACCCATCTGTTAACCATGGTCACAGGGCCTTCTGAGTCGGTCTCCTTAGAGCATCTGCATTGTGCCATCAGAGCCAAGCACACAAGTCCTGGTTCTCTCAGTCATGTTGCCCATCCTTCGCCCTTTCATGGCATCCCACCCTCCCCAGCACACAGAGGCCACCCTGCCCTGCCCGTCATCTTCTCCTTGGCAAGTGTGTATCTCCTCGTCCTTTGTGTCTCAGCCGACCGCCAGTCTCTAACAGGCCTTATCTGACTACCTTCTGCCACCGTTGGGAGTCTGTCTCTGCTCCTTTTCCTGCTGGTTAGTCCCCTGCTCAGACCCCTCCCCTGTACTTAAACTAGGATCAGTCTTTTGATTAGTCCATAGACTGCCCACTCACCCATTCGTCCGATATTTATTGAGTGATTACTACATGCAGCAGCTAAGATAGACACATTACCATTAAGAACCTAAGCCAGCCACTTCAGCTCTGTCTGGATAGACTGCTGTGTCGTAAACGCTCTGTACCAAGGCCTCTTCTCCATGGCCGTATCCTAGGGCATCTTGTTGAAACACAGATTTTGACTCTGGAGTCTGCGTGGGGCCTGAAGTCCGCACTTCTGACACTTCCCAGGTGCTGCCCCGCTGTGGGCTTAGAGACGACTGCCCCCAGGAAGTGCTGCGAGCCTGTGCCAGAGCGTGATTCCTGGACACCCATCTCTGCAGTGCGGTCCTGAGTCCTCTGGGCCGTGTGCTGGTTGGCGGCATCTCCATGTGCACCCGAGGGCTGCTGGCTGTGCGAGTAGCTCTTGGTGGTGGGCGTGATGTGAGCAGCGCTGTGGCCTAAGCACAGAAGCCTTTGAGCAGGCGCCATGAGGGGTGGAAGGAGGCTGGAGACCCTGCTTCGAAGGCAGCCTGGAGCCAAGCGGTGCAAAGGCCCCGGGGTGCCTCTGAGCCGCTCTTGAGCTCCTAGGTGTGTTTGGGGCTCAGTGCTGGCAGCTGTGCGGTAGACACTTACAGGAGTCCTGTATAGTTTTCACAGTGACTTCATTCGCTCCACCCCTGAGCCCTTATCACTTCTGCAGCTGGGTTGGAGCCTTTGCATTGCCCCAGGAACTTGGGTGACACTTGGTCTCCTAGCTTAGCTCCCTGTAGGTTGGGTGGCAGGTGCTGCTGCTGCCGCAGAGGGGCCCAGGGAGGTCGAAACTTGGGGCCAGACAGCCACAATGTGGCAGGCAGGGTGCAGCCCAGGCTGGTGGGCCGCGCACGAGGCTCTGTCTCCTTTCGCTTTTATTGTCTGGGCCATGACTAGAAATAGGGTTTAATGCCAGAGTGAGGGGGGGTGATTTATTTTCATCGCCTGCCCTGCCCCGCCCCTGGCATCCCCAGGGAGGCCCTTAGGGCACAGCACTGACACTGTGCTTTGTGGGACATCAGTTCTTTTTCTTTTGGCGGAACTGGGCATTGAACTCAGGCCCTTGAGCTTGCCAGGGAAGTGCTTATTCTACTGAGCCATCTCCCCGGCCCCAAAGTTTTTTTTTTTTTTGGCAGCCTCAGGATACCTGACTTCAGGGCAGGCCTGGTTTGACTTGAGGATTGGGGGATTGAACCACAGCATCCGGAGCCTGACTGCTTTCTTTAAGCTGGCACTTAAACAACCGAGCTAATGGGCCGGGCCCCGTGCACATCAGTTCTTGAGGGGTTGGGGCTTGAAGAAATGAACAGGGAGGAGCAAGTGTTCACTCTGGTGGTAGGCATCTTGCCGCGGCTTCAGCCAAGCCCGAGGGGAATGGCTCTCCCTGGACAGTGGTGGCTGCTGATCATCTGGGGACACAGTCCCTACGTTAGGCCTTGGTGGCTCCTGGCTGGAAGGCTGGAGGCCTGGGGCTGGCTTGGTACGTTCTGGCTGCTCTGGGACTTCTGTATCAAAGACACTTTCCAAATCACATGACTGTGCTCAGGGTCAGCTCGTCTGTTCCGCGTCAGATCCGCAGTGCTAGTGCCTTACGCGCTGTATGTTTTCTGTCCGGCTTCCTGAGTCTTGGCTTCCTGCCCTGTGTGCTTGCAGGCTGGCCTTGTCTCTCATCCAGTACAGAATCCAGTTGGCCTGCAGGTGGGGTGTGAGCCTCCGGTCTTGTGCTCCAGGCAGTGAGAGAGGAGCCAGGTATCCCTCCTGGGTTGCTAACTATTGCACCAGCCCCTGCCTGTACCTCCCCTTTTGGGATGCTGGGAAGCGCTCCCAACAGCGGGACAGAGCTGCACTGGGATAGCTGCTCCCCTGGCCCTTAGACTTGGACACTTAGATGTGTTCGCCAGTCCAGGCTTGAGGCTTTGGGGCTGCTGGGAGCTGGGGTCGGGTCCCATCTCCGTAGAGTGGTAATCTGAGCCCAAGTACCTCCATGCAGCTCCCCTTGTCATGTGGGCCCCAGAGACGCATAGCCTGTGTTCCCTGGGCTTTTTTTTCTCAGCAGCAAAAGGGAAGAAAAGAGTTTTCTTTCAAGGC